CTGTAGATTTAAACTGAATATAACCAAATGAAGAAAAAAATGATGTATGCGAAAAGTTCACATAATAGGCTGCTTTTTCAGTGGTGGCAGCATCATGCTGTGATGTTGATGGGGAGATAGATGGAGTTAAAGGGCAATCCTGAAGAAAATTCATTAACATAGAAAGAAATTACATTAACTTTCGATTAAAAGAATGACAATACAAAAAAAGCCAGATTTGTGGTTTCTAAAGTTAGTCCTCAGTGGTTTATTTCCACATCATTTTAGATTTTTCCCCACCTCTAAGAGATGTCCTGTCAGAGTCTAGACCTAAATCCAACGAAGCATCCACAACTTAAAATTTACAGGCACTTGCAAAATTTCAAAGAACAGGTAAGAAATTCAGTAACAAGATCTGCAAAGCCTGTAGAGATGCCTAAAGTTATGTGTAACCAGGAAAAACACCGCAATTTTCTGATTTTTATTCAAATCAAAATCAAGCATAACTCTGTGTTGGTCTATGAACTCATTAAATTGAAAAAAGTCTATTATTGTAACAAGATAAAATGTGAAAGTTTTCCTCTTAAATATGTTTTCAAGAATGAATCCCTTTTATATTGAAGCTCAGATCTAATATCTTTAACATTTTAGTAAAGCATTGAGAATTTTCATAGAGACAACCATGAGGGTAGGAGCTAATGGCAGTAATGAATGGTGGAGCGTTAGTTGGTTAACAAACTTACCTCTGAATAATGTGTTTCTTACAGGGCCGCTTGGGCCACGCTTGATGGATGGCCTTACAGAAGCCGGGTCAATTAGCCCAGACTGGATTTGCCTTCATGTGGGCAGCAGAAAGCACTGGGAGAGCTCCAACCTCTGTCACCCGGCCTGGCTGTAATTAATCACCAGCGCGAGGCCTTCTCACCTCACGCAGCCGCGCTCACAAACAGCCAATACTTACGTTTGGCCCAAATTACATCTCCACTCCTCTAATCTGGCTAATTGTCAATATGGTCGGCAGGGGAGGACAAAAAAAAGGTTGTGTTATAAAGAGCTTTTCTGGCATCAAATATATTAATATAGTAGGTTATTTTTTTAAATCATGTCATCTTTATCTTCAATATTTTCACAAGGCTAAACTAAGCCTTAATTATTAAAAAATTTGACTTAATTTTGAGTTAGATTTTAGTAAAAGAACCAGGGCCCTGTTCACAATGGAAAGCAGCTTAAAAGTGAATGCCCAAAAAACCCTCTCAGGACTTACATTTTCTCTTAAAGAATATGTTGCTCTATTTGCCTTTATTCATAATTTCTCTAGGTGTGAAAAAGGGTGAAAAAACCCAGAAAAGGGCTTGAGCCAGGAACCAAACCTGGGACAGTTGCATCAAGCACTCTGGCTTCCACAGGATGACTCTGCTGTACTACAAATCAACAGGGCATCCAAACAAAACTTATTTTTATGCCTTTACAAAGCCGCTTGGTATATGCATGATTTGCTGTTTTTCAATGTTTCTCTGCTTCACCACAGCTGATTCTGATGACTGCAATTCAGCAAAAGCCTGTTAATCAGTTAACAATGGAAATCAGCTGTGCTGAAGCAGGGAAACCTCTAAAACCTGCAGGGCAGCTGCCCTTAAAGACAGACTTTAGACACATCTTGCTTAAAATATATTTCCACTATTACTTCCAGAACCACTTTTTTCCATGGATCTTCATTTCTGAGAACCCTTTCATATTCCTTAGACCTTTTTGGCAAACATTTGCACTTTAAGGCACGATGTTTGCAAAGATCAGATCACCTGTTGTCACATTCTGGAGAGTCAGGCATCTTCCCACCACCGTAGCCAAATCCAGAATCTGGTTTTACCCAGTGTTATTGGACTTACCCAGCATTATGTAATAAGCAGAAAGGATTTTAAAAAAGTAAAATCACTCAAAAACTGAAGAAAAGTTACAACTAGAACAGATTTGGAATTGCTGACTCCCGTGGGTCTGTGGGGAAAGAGGAGTTCCAGACCCTAAAATCTTTAATTGGGTTTCCTTTATTGAATCTAATATGGAGAATGTAGGTGTTACAGCAGATGTAACACAGATATATTGAAAGTGAAATAAAATATTTGAATTAATAATAGCAGCCTTAATTATGCAGAATAAAAGCTCAAATTTTTACCAACAAAACCCTACATTTCTACTTTTTAAGCAAAGTGAAGCCTTGCATCATAAGGAAACTGGAAATTCTAATAATGCATAATCCTGGGGTTTGTTTTAATTTTAAGTTTTGGCTATTTTATGTATTTTAGAGCAACCACACTGAAACTCTAACATTCAAAACAGGTCCGTAGGTTTAAATAGCATTTTTGGCTGTGAACTAGAAAACTACCCTGGTTAATGAAGGTTTCTCTAATTATAACACAGCTTTCGTCTCCATTGTTGTGAAAGCTTCATCCATATCTGTGATCTGATTGGCTATATGGTGTGTCTGATACCTGGACAGGGGAGTGTTACAGAAAAGGTAAAAAAAAAAAAAGTAATAAATTATGATACTTTAAGAATTAAAAGCAATTTTAAAGTTCAAATTTATCTATTCTATTCTGGCTGGTGTGCTCAGAATAGTATACAGTGGTTTATTTACCGCGTCAGATTTAAATACAGATTATGCACTTTAAATGCTTTAGTACTGACATAAAATAAAGAAGTTAGAAAAGACTTGAAATGACTTTTAGAAAAGCCTCTTAATGTGACACTGTAACAGAAACATCTGTTTTAAATTAATTATGTGATGGGACCAATGTGATTGTTAGATAGTTAATTTTAACATTTTTTTGTCTCATTTATAAAACAAGCATTGTCAAACATCAAATGTAAAAAAGACGGAGATCAAATGTGCAGCTAAGGAAAGTGGTGACGATGGTGGATCCTGTGTAACTCTGCTAATGGCCGAGAACCACATTGATTTGTTGAGCTTCTTGCTACTGCTCAAGGCTCTACAAATAAAAATGTAATCTAGATTAAGGAAAGTAACGTCAATTCTTTTATGTGTTTTTTTTTCACAACTCATAACCTTTAATACATATTTCCAGATTTTAGCACTTTGTTTGCAACTTTACAAAGGGTTTGTTTTACCATTTTTTTTACTTCTGACCCCAATCAGGTAAACAGGGCACAGACGTTCAGGCTCCGTACAGAGGCGTCACTCTTCGTTCACTGAACACACTCCTGTGGACCGGACAAAAGCAGCAGGCTGACAGATGAGGTTTGTATCTGGGGGCTGGGAATCTCTGTGTTGCTGTGCTGTGTGTGTATTAGTGCATATGTGGTGCTCATGCATTTGTATACATAAATGTGTTAGTGTGTGCACCTATTTGTGAATCCATATGTGTGTATGTGTGTGTGTGTGTGTTTTTGGGTGGGGGGGGGGATTGGGGGGGGGGGGGTTGGGGTGGTCTCAGGGGGCAGCTCTGTGTCTCCTCCATCTGCCACCCCACTCTAGTGACACCCAAGGGAATGGCAGGAAGAGGGGTGGGGAATTCATTTTGGAAAAAAAAAAAAGAATCAGGGTCCATCGGTCTAATGGGCAACAATACTGGTTTCACTGATGGGCCAAAGGCAAAGGACACTGGTTGGGTGTGTGGAAGCCAATGTACCAATCTGTGTGACAAAACATTGGGCCACCCCCATCAAGATCTGCCCTAGTCTGCCTAATAAGGCACGCACACCCCTGATTATGCCTCAAATGAGAAAGGGGCTCACTGTATTTTGCACACATGCACACCCACCCGGGGCTAATGTCAGCCTAATGCATGGCCATGCTGTGGCCAGAGGGCTAATTGGGTATATAAACACAAACACATCCCTTGAGAGGGGAGAAAGGAAAGGGTGTGTTTTCTCTATAGCGAGAAACAAGGAGCATAAAGTTAAAGATGAAACTCATCATATTTTGGCTATTCTGATAGTGAAGGATGACACGGCAGGGCTTTCGCGTACCGAACAGCTGGACGGCGGTGATGTAGATGCATGATGTGGACTGGCACGGTGGCAGGTGGCATCTCATGCTGTCTTTATCAAAACTATGATTAGAAAAAAAAAAACTGTAAACGGCGCCGCCACTCTCACAACTAAACCGTCATGTGGAAGAGGAGCATATGGCTCCTGCACCACTGGGCAGAAGGAGCACTCAGCAAGATGAATGCTGAGGTTCTGGCAACTGTGTTGACTTTAACTAGTCAAATTAACAACATATCAAAGGGAAGAGGGAGGGATGAGGAGGAATAGACTGTTGCTGAGTGGATCTGGGGTTAAATGGCAAGCAGTGTCTGGTGTTTGAGGTCCTATGTCCCTGCATTGTCACCAAAAAACTCCACCGCACACCCAAGCAACCAACCCGACTGGGTGCTTAGCCTACCCTCTCGCTGCTTTGAGGGCTATGTTAATGAAACAGTTGCTGTTTCCTGGCATAACATTAATTACCCGATCAAAATAGAGTGGGTAATTAACTGCCCTTCTTTAGCAGTGCTAATTACATTAACAGAGAAGGACCATTGCAAGGGAGGATAAGAGGAGAAGAAGAAAGACGGGATGAAGCTGCATCAAACAAAGGCAAGGCAGCGGTGAGCCACATGCCTCCATGTGAGTATTTTTTTTCTTCAACAGTGAGAGGAAGAGGCCGCATTGGAAGGAGACTCATGTGGTTCTCACTCTGGCCCCCAGAGGCTTGGTCCTCGGAGAGAAGCAGGCTTATTGGAGAGGAGAGATATGGGAGTGAGGAAGGGAGGGGGGAGGATGTTGTTTATCTTGACATGCTCTACTCAGTCTTTAACGCTCGCATCACAATTAAGATGCTGCGGCTCATCAGCTATGTATACAAAACAGTGTAACAAGCTGCACGAGCACACAGGTGATGAGCAAAGTCAAAAATAGATCAGGCACAACCTTAAGATGTGGAGGTTTGCAGGAAAAGCTTCACGCTCAGGACACCACAGCATGATATAGAAAAAAATATGTAACCACTTCAATCACAGCTATGCTTTCTTTTTCTCATTTTATTTGAAGCACAAAATATAATTACACCTTAAAATTTACAAATCACATTTGTACCATTTCTTGTATCACTTCAAAAGAAAGATGGCTTAAAAACATAATTACAAATTACTAACAATTTTCTTAAATAAATAAGATTAACTGAAATTTAACAACCGAATTGCAAATGTCAGCTACTCTTTGCGTTCGTTTTGTGTACGTCCTGAGAATGCATTTTGTGTTGCAAAAACTAATGCTGTCCCTTTAAATGTATTCATATACCTTTTGATTTTATGTCACTGTTTAATGTTAAATCCACAAAATATGTATTTATTTTGGTAAAACCTATGTGAAAGACCAACACAAAGTGGTACAAAATTGTAAATTGAACAATACCTTTTAATAAATATGCATAAAAAAAGTTTTTTACATTGTAATGTAAGCTTTGATGAGGAACACCACGGAATAATAAATCCAATAGTCAGGTCAGGGGTAAATATAAGAGAATTTATAAAACCAAGTTAGGTTCTAAAACTAGGCTTTACTGTTCACAATCCATCATCTAAAGGTGGAAAACTATGGCTTAATTTCAGACCTACCAAAACATGACAAAGCCACTTTAATCCATGGCCTGTAAAAAGGAGAGCATTAATTAGAGAATACCTTCTTCATAGTGAAACATTGTGGTAGAAGCATAATGTAGGAGGATTTTTTATTTTTAGCAAGGACAAACCAACTGGGTAAAGTTGATGGGAAGATCAGTGAACATTAACAACTCTAGGGGAATCAGAGGTTGCAAAAAAAGGTAAAATGTAACCTTCCAGAAGGAAAGCAGTTATACTGACAGATATACAAGGAAATTAGTTTAAAGCTCAGTATGCTATAATGTCCCTGTCAGAGCCCAGGCTTGAACATATTTTAATATCAGTGACAAAAGTTGACAGTTGATGTTTAAAGGCCTTATATTAGCAAAAATCTGAAATAAAATAAACCCAAACCACTTGCAGCTTTAATTTCAGCAAAAAAAACATTTTTAAATCAGCATTGACTCATGGGGTTTGGTTAAAACGGACATCCCCCTTTGTATGTTTTATTTTAAAAAAAAAGAAAGAAAAAAAGAAAAATAAACAGGGAGACATTTTCTGTCCCTTTTCTTTCTTTTCACAATTATACATACATTGCTTTGTGCTGGTCTATCACTTTGAAGTTGTGTTTCACAAATTAAGAAAACGTGGACATATTCAACAGGTATAAATACCTTTACAAGGAATTGTAGCTGCAATTACATGAGAACATTGATAAAAGACCACCTAATGCAACTCTGTATTGTTTGAACTGTTGTGCTTTTGCTTTCTATACTGCATAGTGACTAGACATTAAAAAATGAAAGTTCACAACTTTTTCAGGTTGAAAATGTACCAGAGCATTGGTGAAAAAAAGCATGCATTTTAGGTGAAAATGAAAAGGATACAGCTAACTAATACTCCCCTTTACATTAGGACAATAACCTTTAACCGTGACCAAACACATTTAATTGCTTTTGCAAGAACCTGAAAAGTAGGAGTTTAATTAAAAAAAAAAAAACTCCACTAAAAAAATCCATTTCAGAGAGTTATTTGTCAAAGTAATTGGCAATTGGAGAGCTTGCTTAATTTCATCAACCCTTGGAAGGAGAACCAGTTTATAAAAAAAACACGCTTATATTATTCCCTAAACTAACTTTAATAAGTTAAATTGCTTGTTCTTAAATAAATCAATATATGAATTCATTTTAGTAATAACCCATGAGACAAAATTTTATCTCGTGAAAAAAAAAAAAACTGCCACAACAAAATATAAAGGTTCTACTTTTCTGGAATGTAAGTTTTCTTTAAAAAGTCTACTACAAAACAACCTCTCGCTAGCCCATAGATGGTGTACACACATGCCATTTAGGGTGTTTAGACACTCACAAAATAGGCACCCTGTTTTTTTAGAGCCGCAGCTTCGTTTCTGAACTGCCCGTCCTCAGTCGACGCTCAGTGATCCGACAGTGCGTCCTGTAGGTCTTTTGCAGGTGTTGCAAAGATTGGATACAGCTGGATCAGAGTTAAGGGCAGATCCTTTCTGAAGCTTCATGGGATATTAAAAAGGAGTTTTCTTTCCTGTCAGATACACACGCTGCAGTAAACTGTTCAGTCTTGCTTTTTGTGGCTCAGGCTGTTGTGTTTTCTTGTGTATCTGGAGAAGATTGCTGGTCTTTGGATATTTTCATACCAAGCCCCGTTTCCTTTGCATGGTCACAAAAAGTTGGGGGTTTGGAAACAGCGGGTGGAATCAGAGAGGAAAAGTTACGTTCACTAGTGATCCGTTTTTTTTTACTCTCCCTGCTCAGTGCCAAAAAGAAGGGGAGGTAAGTGAAGCAGTGGTCTGGGGCAGATTGGGGACAGGTGCTTTGCTACATCGGGGGGACAACCAGGCCCGTCATCGCTGGAGAGAAAAAAATATACAAAATCTATGATTCTAAATCAGTCAGGCGTTTCATCACTGTACATCATCCAAGCCGTGTTCAGTCATGGTTTTTGAGCTGGTTAGTATAGTTAGACTGCATTGGTGAGTTCAGACAGCGGGGTCAGATAGTGAGTTGGATGACTACCTCTGAAGCTGTTCCCCCCCGAGGCAGGGCAGGCGGGGGAAGGAGAACCTTGGGGTCTGAGGACGGGAGCAAAAGCACTCTTCTGTTTAGCAGCGGAAGGGAAAGAGGAGAAAGGCAAGAGAGATGACGAGGAGCTGGAGCTTCCTGGTATTGTGGGGCTTGCTGGCATTACTGTAGAACATAGAGAGGCAAACAGTGGTAAACCTGAAACCGTGTCAGGCTCAGAATTATAAGATCCAGGGAGAGATTAAGGGCTTACTGTAGGGAGAGCTTGTGGGTGAGGCGCTGCTGAATCCAGGAGACCCAGGAACACCCAGACTTGTCATTGGAACTGTACCGTAGCCTCCAGTCATTCCCCCGCTGCCCCCATAGCTCGACTGCTGGGGAGTGGAGGCTGAGGGGTAACCTCTTGGGGACAAACTGCTGGAGTTACGGATATAACCTGGAGGAAACATTGCAGAGTAGGCTCAGTTCTAAGATTTATTTGCTGATAAAGACAGAAGGAAAGAACTGTCTGCTCACCTTGGCTGCTCTGTCCTGGATCTCCAATGCTGACCCCTAACTGGGATGGATAGGAGCCCAAACCCATAACACTCCCATGGGCTGGTGAGCTGGGAAGTGCCTGCAGCTGACTGTGAGGACGAGGAACGCTGTAGAGTGCCTCAGCAATATCAGCTGCACGTTTCAGCAGCATATCCTATAGCAAGACAAACAAAGAAACAAACAACAGGTCATTTGTAGGACTAAAGCATGTCGATTGGCTGGTATGGTGTTTTTCTGCTAGCTTACAGAAATCTACTAATTAATCTCATGAAAGGAAAAGCTTCAAGCCGCACTTTATCAGCCCATCAGTGAATATATAGGCCGGATGACAATTTTCTGACTTTCGGTTCTTTCAGATGTTGCCTTTTCAGATGTGGGTTAAATTAGATGCTATAAATCAAATTGGCTAACTATATGAAAAGAAAAAACTGCCAAAAATGGCTTTTATATTCAGACAATTTGTTTACACCATATGGTTATTAATCCTGTTTAATACAGTGTGATATTGACAGTGCTTTCTCAAAGGTATAAACAATAAAACCTTCCAAGGTTAAAGAAATCCCCTTTTGACTTATTTTACACTATTATAAGGTATTTATTCAGTAAATTTATGATATATTAAAATGAAATAGTTTTAATCTGTTTCATTTTCATTTAAACACAAACTAATGCACCAATTTCAAGGTAAATTAATATATCAGAACATATTTTGTTCAGAGCCCTCTAGGTGATATTTTGTCAGATAGCCTTTAAGTGCAAATGCAGCAGAAAGCCCTTGTCTCTACCAGCTTTACGTACACAAATGAAGATGATGATTTTTGCCAGATTTTTCTTACTCTGCTAAAGTATTGTAAAATTATCTATTAACACTGATTTTCAACTTTTTTCACAGGTTCAATTTAGTATCTGTATGGACTTTGAGTGAGTCATTCTAAGACATAGATGGACTTCAATCATCCATTCAGTTGTCATTCTTGTTCTATGTTAAGGCTTACCAGTCTGTCAGAACCTGTACCTCCACTATAACTGTATGATCTGGTTGAAATGTAAAGTGCCTTGACATGGCTTGTGTTGTGAATTGGCGCTATATAAATAAACTGAATTGAATTGAACTATAGTTTCATTTATTTTGCTGTTTTTAACAGATTTTCTACAAGGGCTGTTGTATGTTTATCTCCAGCCATTTTGTCATCATCTCTGACCAACTATTGTTGAACTAAAGCACAGTTTGACACTGTTTACTGTGGGACTCCTGACAGAAATGAGCTTGTTAGGGATCAGAAAAAGGGGTGCTTAAATCAACACCTCTCATATTTTGATTTTTAAAAATTGTAAAAAGTCATTTTACAAAGGTGTAATAGTTTTTCTATTATATATCAAAGTTTACATAGGAAAATGTAGAAACACTAAAATGGTTTGAAAACATTTGCAAAACATTGTATAATAAAATGGCAGACTTTCAAATATTTCAGTGTTTTTGTATAATTAGTCCCCTATTTGCCCTTTATAAGTACCTGATTACTGTGTGGATTTCCATACAGAGCCTCAACAAGATCTGCTGCTCTTTTTAGGAGAATCTCCTACAAAGAAAATTATTGATTTACTTATTTCAAGACCAAAGAAATTATAATCATATTCCTTAAGTGGGTAAGAAGTGTCTCACCTTGGCTAGTTTCTCTGGGTCACCTGGATGCCGGGGAATTATCTTCTGAAGTCGCTGAAAACCGTAGTCTATAGTTGGCTCATTAAGGGCTAGAAAAAAAATCATTAGGTTCTCACACCTTAGAAACAATTATTTTAAGTCCTGTATCAAGCTTTAATATTGCAAAAGTTCCTCTTAATACCTGTGTAGATGAAGCGTCCAGGTGCTCCCTTGCAGAACTGCTTCGATTTATATGACAGAGTTACCTCCACAACCCCAGGGATGTGTCGAGGAGGCGTCTGTACACGGATCGCATGTGGAGTGATCAGCTGAGAAGAAAGCATAGAAACAATGTCACCAAAGATGCGTCCCTTTGTCGTGTAAATATTTGGGCTAACTCATTACTGTGAGAGGATTCAATTGTTAAGACTGCTCATAAATCACCCAAATAATGAGACAAGCCATATGCTGCACATTTCATTTCGCAATATGTAGCATCATTAGTGGGATGTTTGGAAGACAACTTTTACCTCACTCCACACGAGCATGCTTCCAAACACCACCTGCAGTCCGTCGAAAAAGTTCTCCCCAATGACTATGACCATCGCCCCGCCGGTGGTCCAGCCTTCACTGGGGCTGATGGCTTTGATGCAGGGAGTAGCTAAAAGAGGAGAGAAAAGCTTTACTTACACAATATCAGATGGCTATCAATGAAAAATCAAAATACAAGGGGAAGTGGGTTAAAACATTTCCTACGTACTCTTCAAGAGTATTAGCAATGGTATTATTGAAATATTATTTTACATGCAGTAATGTTTTATGCGCCAAAGCAAAAAAATGATTGTACTTTTTTTGTAATTTGTCTAAAAAAAGCAGAATTTATTAGGTATGATTATCTTCTGTAATTTTTGTCTCTTGGTACATTACATACATTCCCAATCAAAACACGGAGTTTTGTGGTTTTAATCTAATAAAATCCAAAAATTATTAAATGTACTAGTATTTTTCCAACAGACTGTCATGGAGTAAGTGTAATTAAACCCAATTACACACTCGAATAACAAGATTAGTGTTTGACAAAAAAAAACGGCCAAAGGTCACTTAAATAGAAATGCATATATACATCCTATTTAAGGGGTTTAAGAAAAAATTTATTATAACAGATATCTAAACAGTAGGAAAAACTATGACCCTCTACTTATGTAAAAGTTTATATTAAATAAATAAAATGTTACTTGGTAAGATACAAGGCTTGTTGTTATAAATGTATACTTTTTTGTTTGCTTCTCAATGTACTTACCTGAGTTTTTAAATACTTGCTGCACTATCTAAAAAAATGATTGAAGAGATGATGAAGAAATGGCTTTGATAACTATATATTTTTCCTCTTTTTCAGTAAGAACATATTAAAACTTTTTTATTTTTCCCGATTTTTCTTATTTTATGGGATGAACAAATAATCAGTTATTACTTTGTTTTCCCCCCAATATAATCTGTAGCATGTTATTCAATCTCGATCATGATTTCAGATACAAAGAAGGTTTGTGGTGGTTGTGTGACAAAGCATAAAAAGGGTTACAAATACAACTATAAGACATTGCGATTACGTAAGGAGACATCACGGAAGCGGGAAGCTGAATCCCTTAAAGCAGCTTTATAGTTTTACCGTATTCCATGGTGTTCTCCACAGACTCTCCCGGCTCCAATCTGCGAGCTCGCCGGCCATGTTTAGAGTTGTTGTGGACAAACATATTGTCAGACACGGCCAGGACGTGTCCGTCTACGCTCACTGTGCTGGACAAGACCACCTGAGTGAAATGACAAGGTGGCCAAGTGGAAGATGCATGAGCAAACATGGAGTATTTAGACAACAGACTAAGAGTCAAAATGTCAGGTTACAACTGTACAAAAAAAAATTATAATTCCCCAACCAACAATTTGTTTTTCAATACAGGTGAACTTCATATATCTTAATGATAATCTAGCATCCCTGGGATTTCCTTATTACATCTGCATTGGGCTGCTTCACACTCCTCCACCAGGTCACCATATGGACTCCTCTCCTCCTAGCCAAACGTTTTGATTCATACAGCACACAACAGTCTCCGTTGTCTCCTCTTAATCCCTCAATGACAACAAACATATGAACCAAATCTCCCGTTTCAGCTGGTTGTTAAAGTGGTGGATGATGTATGGCTATCATAATGTGATTTTCTGCCTATTGCACATCCCTGCTTACATCTGGATCCCATAGGTGAGACTTAATAAGAGAATAGAAACAAGTATTTGTCCCCCTTATCTACAGTATTTATTTAGTTTTTTTCAGCACACTGCACCGTGTATTTTGAAATAATATGTACCATAAACCAGCTTTTGCCTTTTAGAGACACACATGGTGAAAGGCTTGCACATAAAAGAAGATAACTAAAAAGAGGAGTAAAAAAACATATGTTCTATAGGTGGTGGAAGGACAAGAAAAATAACTGTAAATTATCGATCAAGCAGCGCACTTCTACCCAGCCCTGGTCACCTTTTAACCCAAAGACCTAAAGTTTCTGAGCGCCTCTGTGCTCATAACTTCTCAGCATGTGTCACACAACAGGAGTTAAAGCAAACATGATGGGAGACGAAGACTGGGAGGTGCGGGGGGCAGTCGGACAGAGGGGTGTGCCGGGCAAAGGAGAATGCCAGAGAGAGGCCGCTAGTGCTGAAAGACGGCAAAGGAAGTGAGCTCGGGGAGTCCCTTGTGACCACTTCCTGGGTCACGGAGCATGACCTTCCCCATCTGGAGCCAATCACTCAATTCTTGACAACTTCCTGAAACACCTCAACCTATTTCCTGCACCCAGGCACCCCCAAAGCCATGTCTCCCTCATATCTAAATCTTTGGTTTTTCTTTCCATCTCTCTAACTTATTGATTTCTACCTTTCACCTTTACCTCCTCAAGCAGGACTTCCTCTGGGAAACTACTTCATGGACTTACCATGTGACCAATGTAGCAATAACAGCTTCTTTTTATGACTTTAAATGACATCCAGCTGCCAAATGGTCTAACTGGATACTAAAACGTAAACCGGTGCTGTAGTTGATCAATAATTTAACTCTGGTACTTAGTGATGAAGAGAGCTTGGGAGAGGGGAAAAGGAAAGCAGCTCCAGGTTTTAAAAACCACCTGAACATCCAATGAACTGGATGGGAGATTTGTTTTTCATGTGAAAAGTACCTACTGTAGGTGGATGAGAAAGCAGCCAGTAAGCATAGTTTGGACAACATTAAATTACGGACAGCACATTAGAGTGATGTGATGTCATTAAGGGCCCCTTAGATTAACCAATTAACTTGGACATTGGAGATGGTGATTTCAGATATTTCATCCTAACTAAACACGTCTTCTTCCCAAACTTATGTATATTATTATGTACATACAATGATAATAAAAATGATCCTGCATGATGCCTTTTTTTGTCTCATCTTAGAGAGTTTAACATAGCTGCCACTGGCTTTCATATGAACATTTCCATAGAATAACAGTTTAGACTGCTGGAAAAAATATATATGTTTTGAAGACTAGATTTTGATCTAGTTAAACTAAGGGTACCTTTACACCAGGATGCCTAGTCTTTAAGTAGGTGGACAAAGCAAACCCACCTCACTTGATTGGTGTACCTTCATGTTTAAAGTACTGTCATAGCCTCAGGCCATTTGGGTGCTATCACAAGATTTGCGCTATCACATATTTTAGCGACAGGCAGCAAATACAGAAGTAATTCTAATTAGTAAGAGCTCTTTACCTAAAGCAGTTCACACATTATTGCTAGTGTGAAATTATTGCTGTATATGTACTGTGTGTGATACAGGCAAATGAACACACCTTTGTATGTTTTTAGTTTTATTATGAAGAGATTTCAGCTTTTTGCTAGATTGGTGTTATTCGCATATTTTTGCTCTTTTTGAAAAGATTTGACTCGCAACATCCATGTGGGTTTCCATCGCAAAAGGATGTACAGATTTAACCCAGCAATATGGATTTTCTTTCCTACCCCTGATAAAATTCTTACTGTTGACCTCATGAAAGGTGAAGTAACAGAAGCAAAGCTGCAACAATTGGATGATTTCAGACTCAGGCTATGGCCTAATGTTGGGATTAAATAGATGGTGAATGAAGATTCAAAAGTGAAATCATTACTTCTTCTCATTTGTTTACCTTGCCTCTTTAGTTCAGTGGGTATTATAAATGCATTTACCCAGTAGGAATAATTCACCCAACTTCACTTACAAGTGAACCGAGGCAAACATTTCTAAGAGTTTGAATGTAAGCTTTTACATCTGCCAGTTGAAGCAGACTATGAACTAAACAACAACACTGCAATCATTTACTTTGGTCAAAAAACTTCAAATGTGAAAACATCTAATTGTCCCTTTTGTCTAAATCATAAAATGCAACTGTCCTACTTGAACGGAATGAGGAGGGAAAAGTTTTGGGGGATAAAAATCCTGGATTAAAAGTTGATTCAGGCGACAAGGTATATATTGAGATAGACATGATGAGAGGTTATAGTGTATCATAACACATCAGGTAAGGATGGGGTTTCTATCAGTGCGACAGTATTCTTCTATCTCTGGTATCACCAGTCTTTTTTATGTCCAAACACAAGGACTCATATACGTGCGCATTTTTATGTACCTGGAATCTTCTCATGTCCCTCGGGTTCCCTGCTGTCTTCAGACAATTCTGATTGCACTTCAGGAAAAACTTCAAGAAAAACCTGCAAAGGTAAACAAGAGGGCACACATTTTTTTAAGTTTTATATCAGCAACATATAAACTCTGTGACAGTCTAGTGTATGTAATTATTTTCCACCTTTTAACACAATAAATGTCGAAGGACAGATTTTTTTTTTTCACAGCCAGATCCTCTGTGATTGTAAGTACGCACATGCGATTAAAGTTCTGACATAAATCCCAGCTGTTTAGTTTAGTTTTAAAGTCAATGTTTTTACATTTTAAATCAAGTAATGAGATCTGGAAGCACAAGCCGAGTGAAAAGTGCTGCTGTGTTTCAAAGTAAGCCAGAGACAGTGATCTATGCCAGCGGACTCAGGGGACTGGAGTATCCCACAATGCCATATTTGAACCCCACATGGGAGCGCAGAGGGAAACGAAGTAGAGACAGCCACAGAGAAAATTAAATGAGAAAGTGGCAGTGCGAAGGTAGGGAAGAAGGCACACGCAGGTGCTCACATGGACATTTTTTTCCTTCTATTTTATGTGTCTCATTACATATGTAACTTGAATCCAATCCACTGCGGAACTGAAGAAAGGAAGAGGGGCACTGATAGCCCGAGCTACACATAGAAAACCTAAAAGAAAGGTGGAATAAATAGGAGAGAGGTAGACTACTGAAAGAGACTCCAAATCCCAGGTGTACACGGTTCTGAAACACAGCCAGCTGCCATAGCAACGCTGCTCTGCCGCAATCCCAAAGTCCCCACGCTGAGAGGCAAAGATGGGAAAGAGGAGGGAGACACCGGAGCACATTCCATCACGTAAAAACGGCAAAGAGACAGAGCAGGAATATAGAAATAAATAGAAAAAGAGGATAAGCAGTTTTGGTAAGGGGGGATGAGGTTTAAGGACACCCCATCAGGTGTTTTGCATGGGCACAACAAAGGTTTGCATTAAAAAAGAAAAACAATGGTTGCATGGTGATGTGACTGTATCATATATTCAGCATTTAAAATAAATTTTCACTACATTTAACATAAAGGACTGAGGAACATTTGTTTCTGTTGATGATGTGCTTGTGTCTCCTACTAATACTTCCTAAGGAAGGAAGGAACCAACGAAGGAACCAAGAAAGGAAAACCTTATTAGTTCTTGATAGTCCACCATCTAGGATTTTCACAGCTGCAACTCCTTTTCCATCCCTGTGTTCCAGTGAAATGTGCACATTTTTAAAATCCCTGTCTACTTTTGTTTGCTTATCTTGAAAAGCTGCATTATAGGCAAATCAACTTTGTAATTTCATCAACTCTGAATGTTCTGCCACAAATGATATTTGCAGACAAACACAAAGAGCCTCTCCTACAGGGCTTTCTGTGCCAAGTGACCTCTGCACATTCTGCAGCCCAAAAAAGGCTGGGTTGCCCAGTGCATTGCGTAGTTAGAAAAGCTGCAGGACATTTCTGTTTTTTGGGGGGGTTTGTTAGCACAATATTAAATTGAAAAGCAATGAAATATGTTAGGAACTGAATTATCAACAATTCATTTAAAAACAGAATAAGCATGCAAACTACTCAGAACTATTAAGACGAGGGAGTTTATCAAAGCTGCTTATGTGGATTTTGAATTTAATAAACAGTAAGATGCAGAAGGATGCCTGTTATTTAATGACTTGGACGAGTAACAACAAGAAAACCTATCTATCTGGATTTTTTTTTACTGCCTATGTCAGAGAGAACAGTAACTAAATCTAGCAAAGAATAATATTTACTATACTTTAAAATAATAAGAAAAACAGTGAAGTAAAAGACGGACAACAATACGGAATAATCTTCTCTATGTTGTGTATGCTGGAATTATAAACCGTGACTAAGTTTACCCTCACTGACTTCAGCAGCTTTTCAGTTGTAGACAGTGATGTTAGAATCTGCACTAATTTGACTAGCTGGTGGTAATATAGATGGATATTGCAAAAGTAGATAAAACACTTGAACTGATCAACAAAACACAACCTGAGTGAATTCTGTTAATTATACTGCTTTGCTAATGAAGGTTACCATTAAAATGCCATCACCAACACTTAAAAATGCAGCAAGATTCTGGTTTATATTATGTACAAATAAAATCATTTATTATCATAGAGGCCCCCGATCTATTCTTTTTCTGTGTTTTATCATTAATTGACAGCTGCTTATAATATTTCTATTCTTTTACAAGTTAAGTCTAGCTTTGATCTGTATTTTATACTTTTATTTTTTACACTTCTAAAAGTAAACATTTTACTATGCATCACTGTATGTTGGCAGTTTTCAATATTAAACTGTATTTGAATAGTAGTTTAGATGATACCTTTACAAGTATCATATAATGAAAAAGAGAATATAGAGCTGCAGTGAATAAGGATTTTGTTTCTTATTATTTCCAACATAATCCTAAAGAAAAAAGAAAAGATGTTCCAAGCCAAAAATAGATTTACATATATATTAACTAACTTTTTATCAAATACTTCCATTTTAATTATTTCATATGGTAATAGTCCTCAGGTGTCCCTGTGTTTAAAAGTGTGTACATGATGTATAATCCTGGCAGCCATGCTTTTAGGGGGCTGCAGCAAAAACTGCCAGATCACTGATGCACTCTAACTCAAAATTCCCTGAAAAGTATCTTTCTTACAGAAGCCCTGAACGGCAATAGAGAAAAAAATCTGGAAAAGTTTGAAGTTTGAAAACCAGGCATCTCTGTATGGAGGATCAACTCTGCCATATTTAAAAATAACTACAGAAATAAATGAATGCTCAATAAATAAATAAGCATACAATTAATTGCCCCCCAAAATACAATAAACAAATAAATGTAGGTAGAAATTAAATTATACAGTGAGACATAAATGTATATATCTCTTTTGATTACCTTTTTAATTTATTCACCTTTGTAATAATTACCGTATGTATTTATTTTACATTATAATCTTCAACTTTATTTATTTATTACTTATTTTTTAAGTATTTATTTATGTGCGTGTGACAATATTTTTGTCTGTTTTATTCTTCCTTTGTATTTTTTTACCCTATTTATTTCTTCAATGCTATTTCTGCCTCATTATGCAAATGAGAGGGGTGTGTCTTAGAGTCAACTCCATATCTATGACCATACAGTTGAAGAATACAGTCGTAAGTGACTATCTGTCTTATGAAGTCAGTGCCTCTAGTAGCAAAATAAATTATTACAAGATTTTGTTATGTTTTTTTTTTATTTTTGCTTGCCTTTCAGGGCAGAAAATAATGCAAGAAAAAAATTACTTAAAACTTTTCTTTTGCAGATTTTTTTTTGCCTTTCACGGCTTCCGTACATCCTCTACTTATGCTGATGCAATTATTTTCACTATTCTGCATTGCATTTTACTCCAATAAAGTACTTGTTCCATCACTATCACTGTTTCAACTAAACAAACAATAACAGTAAGGAGAAAAATGCCCCAGAAGGAGGCCGTGGTTTGTTGGCCTGCATGGGTCGGTTTGAACCCACCCACATCGTGCTCTTAGCAAAACATAAGTCATCTTAATGTAGAGCGGCTGTGTGGAGAGGAAATTCATATTGGCCCCCACAGCCCTGGATCCTCCCACTGAATACTAATCTTTCCCTCATTCTCTCAGCTTTACTCATCATTTCTCCATCTCTTGCTCCAGTGTCCTCCCTTGTGAAAAGGACCTGGCTTGCAACTAGTTCTCGGTTCCAACTTGCCTCTAATATTACTAGAGCTGAGTTATGCTCTTGGAGGACAATCAATATTGATGTTGGCAGAGAGTGATTACAATTTATCTGTCAGAGCTCAGACCTTCCACCTCAGAGCTGCAGTAGACCTGAGTTTGTAGCGGAAATGTAACATGGCATATCTGTAATTTTCACACACCACAATGTAATATCACTTCTAATAGATGTCTGATGTTATGGAGACTGTGATAAAGGGGAAAATCTTTCAGAAAAGTTAGAAGATGTGTGCTTTAGATGAGCATTTTGTGCTCCCATTTCATTTAAACATATAGTATCACCTTTCAAAACTATTCCCTGAGCCTGAAATTTTCAATTTTTTTCATGTTTGAACCACAAAATAGGTTTTAATCCACATTTTATCAGATAGATGGAAACAATCTTATACAGTAGTTGAGTGGAAAAAAATATTTATTATATCTGAAAAGTGATATTCCGTTTGTATTCTCTTAAATCAGTACTTTATACTTTCTGTAATTCAATCTTTTAGGTTATATGTTTTTGCAGCTTAGAACTGTAAGATTGTATGGAGAGATTCAATGAGCATCAGTTTTCATGTGCTGCCATTTATTCCTACGCACTTTGGCTCTGGTCTTTGACTTGACCATTTTACATGTCGACATATTTTGATTCAAACCATTGGAGCTGTAAGTTTATAGTCATTGTCCTACAGGGAAGTGAACTCAAGTATTTGGTAACCTGTAGACATTTTTCAGGACTCACTTTATATAGTTTCATCTAGGGCTGAAATAATTTATTGGATTAATCGTGATTATTTGATTATTGAAATGATTGTCAACTTATTAAGTATTTGTTAAATGGAACATATAGACTGCAAAACAAGCTTTTAGCTAACAGAGCGACCCACCTAGTGCAGTAACTATACCAAAATTGTAAAAAAATATATATATATTTTAAATTTAAAATGAAAAAAAAATGTCATCTGTTACTCTGCTCTATCCAGAACTCTTAGTGGAAAACTTTCATTTCATAAAAAGTTTTCTTTAAGGAACCTTTGGCTATCCAATTATTAATCAATTAATGTAAAAAAAAATATTTGATATTAAGTATTTAATTGACTTGCAAAAAATCATAAGTTGCAGCCCTAGTTTCTTCTATCTCCCCAGTATCTCTGATAAGCTTTCCAGTCACTGTTAAAGAAATGCATCCCAACAGCATGATGCTGCCACCACCATTTTTCAACCTACAGAGGTTTTGCATGAGGATTGGATCCCTGCAGGTACCTCCAAAGTTCCTCTAGAGTACCTCTAGGTTT